AAATGTTTGGGCAGTGCTTTTCTCCATATTTAAAGGCTGGAATTACAGAATTAATTTTTTTATACATTTGACAAGTTTTCTTCTATTTTAACAATTTACAAATTGTGGTGATATTGTCATGTATGTTGTTAATACAGGTAACTCACACTCTGTATAGGACTAATCTATCAGAGTGTTTTATTTATTTTTTAAAGACTTAATTATTTGAGAGAAAGAGAGCATGAACAAGGGGGCAGAGGGAGAGGGAGAAGCAGACTCCCCGCTGAGCAAGGAATCTGACACAGGGCTCCACCGCAGGGCCCCAGGATCATGGCCTGAGCCAAAGGCAGACGCTTAACCGACTGAGCCACCCAGGTGCCCCATCAGCGTATTTTAGATAGAATAGGTTTTCATTCTGTCTGATGATCCAGTTGCTTAGTTTATAAATATTATCTAATATCATTTATTATTTTCATATAATAAATAATTTGTATACATTTTATACATTAATACCTAATTTAAGAATTTAATATATGCATCCTTTATTAGTTATTTTTTTGAAATTAGTATTTAGAGACTGGTAAGATTAGGAAGAAGATTCAAGGCTTAGAAAAAAACGCTTTGACTAGATAATGTAGCAAAAGTGCTCGGATATAAAAGCAAGACTATTTTTTTTTTAAGATTTTATTTTTGTGTGTGAGAGAGAGAGAGGGAGAATGCACATGAGTTGGGGGGTGGCGCAGAGGGAGAAGCAGACTCCCTGCTGAGCAGGGAGCCCAGTGCAGGACTCAGTCCCAGGACCCTGGGATCATGACCTGAGCTGAAGGCAGACACTTAACCAACTGAGCCACCCAGGTGCCCGAGCAAGAACTATTCTTGATGGTGATTTAATTGTGGACTCTCAAGAACCAACGGGCCTAAACTATTCAGTACTACATTAATACATACTTTGCAATTCTACAATGCAATTATATAAAGGAACTGTTGAGTAATAACCAGCATTATTGACAGTGGACTAGTTACAGTCTTTTTTGATAAATGTCAAGATCTAAAAGGGGAAGAAATTGAGACTGATGGCCCGTGAGAAGACAGGTCAGTTATTTCAAGAAAGAAACACCATTTTGGTTAAACTTGTAAGTATTCATATGCTATGGATGGTAATAGCTTTCAACAAAACCCTCCCAGAATTTACCCATCTTAAAATGTCTTTTGGAGAATAAGACTGTGATTTCTCTCCCAGTAAGTAGCCACTCTAATATATGATTTATATAAAATAAATTGTAAAACCTAGATATTGTATAATATAATGGTGTATTAAAATATGCCCTGGTGGGGCGCCTGGGTGGCTCAGTTGGTTGAGCAACTGCCTTCGGCTCAGGTCATGATCCTGGAGTCCCGGGATCGAGTCCCACATCGGGCTCCCTGCTCAGCGGGGAGTCTGCTTCTCCCTCTGACCCTCCCCCCTCTCATGCTCTCTCTCTCTCATTCTCGCTCTCTCAAATAAATAAATCTTAAAATATATATATATATACACACACACACACACACACACACACACCCTGGTAAGTATATACATAGAAGGGTCAGATCTTTTCAATGGGAAATTGGCTGGAAAGAACTTTTAGGTTTTCTTTTCAATTATTTTAGGGCAAAGTAGACCCTGACCGGGTATTAAAAATATGTTAGGTAATGAGGATGCATGGATGAATAAAACATGGCTTTGTCCTCAAAGAGCTTGAAATACATTAAGACAGATAAGTAAATAGACACACAACTACAGTTAGATGTATAAAGTGCTATGATAGTGGTAAGTGCAGTATTCTATGGAATAACATAAAAGGGGTACCTCATACAAAGTAAGGAAAGATCATTACTTTCCATGATATGAATCCTCAAGCACTTAGCATAGTCCGGAGCATGTGGTAGGTATTCAAATATTTGATGAGCTGGAACCTACTTGATTAAAAAAAATGAGGTATCACCTCATAATTTTTGCTTAAAGCAATGTCTTTATACTGTATATGCCAAAATGTTTTTCTTTGTGAATACTTCTCATGTTGCTATAGTAATTTCAATGATCATAGAAATTAATCAGTATCTACAGCTAATTCTTAGATGTAACTCGTAGTAGACAATAGGTAAGATTTCCTATTTTAGCTTAGGAACAACTGTGTTGCAGTGCTGGACACGTAGTAAATGTTCAAAAATAATAATTACTTAGTTTTTTAAAGCTTCAGAGTTTATTCAATGATTTCTTGTCATTGTAAATGGCAAGATTTCATTCCTTTTTATGGCTGAGTAATATTCCAGTGTGTGTGCGTGTGTGTGTGTGTTGTATGTATACACCACAACTTCTTTATCCATTCATCAGTCGATGGACATTTGGCCTCTTTCCATAATTTGGCTATTGTAGATAATGCTGCTGTAAACATTGGGGTGCATGTATCCCTTTAAATCAGTACTTTTGTATCCTTTGGGTAAATACCTAGTAGTGCAGTTGCTGGGTCATAGGGTAGTTCTATTTTTAACTTTTTGAGCATCCTTCATACTGTTTTCCAGAGTGGCTGCACCAGTTTGCTTTCCCACCAACAATATAAGAGGGTTCCCCCCCTTTCTCTGCATCCTAGCTAACATCTGTTGTTTCCTGTGTTGTTAATTTTAGCCATTCTTACAGGTGTGAGGTGATACCTCATCATAGTTTTGATTTGCATTTCCCTGATGATGAGTGATGTTGAGCATCTTTTCATGTATCTGTTAGTCATCTGTATTTCTTCTTTGGAAAAATGTCTATTCATATCTTCTGCCCATATTTTAACTGGATTATTTGTTTTTTGGATGTTGAGTTGTATAAGTTCTTTATGTATTTTGGATACTAACCCTTTATCCCAAATGTCATTTACAAATATCTTCTCTTGTTCCAAAGGTTGCCTTTAGTTTTGTTGATTGTTTCCTTTGCTGTGCAGAAGCTTTTTATCTTGATGAAGTCCCAGTAGTTTATTTTTGCTTTTGTTTCCCTTGCCTCAGGAGATGTATCTAGTAAGAAGTTGCTATGGCCGATGTCAAAGGGGTTATTGCCTGTGTTCTCTAGTATTTTTATGGTTTCAGGTCTCACATTTATTTATTTTTTTAGTTGCTTTATTTTTTATTAACATATAATGTATTATTTGTTTCAGGGGTACAGGTCTGTGATTCATCAGTCTTACACAATTCACAGCACTCACCATAGTACATACCCTCCCCAATGTCCATCACCCAGCCACCCCATCCCTCCCACCCCCCCTACACTCCAGCAACCCTCAGTTTGTTTCCTGAGATTAAGAGTCTCTTACAATTTGTCTCCCTCTCTGGTTTTATCTTGTTTCGTTTTTTTCCTCTCTTCCCCTATGATCCTCTGCCTTGTTTCTCAAATTCCACATACCAGTGAGATCATATGATAATTGTCTTTCTTTCACTTAGCATAATACTCAGGTCTCACTTTTAGGTCTCTCATCCATTTTTTTTTTTTTAAAGATTTTATTTATTTATTTGAGAGAGAGAGAGAATGAGAGATAGAAAGCACGAGAGGGAAGAGGGTCAGAGGGAGAAGCAGACTCCCTGCTGAGCAGGAAGCCCTATGTGGGACTCGATCCCGGGACTCCAGGATCATGACCTGAGCCAAAGGCAGTTGCTTAACAAACTGAGCCACCCAGGCGCCCCTCTCTCATCCATTTTGAATTTATTTTTGTGTATGGTGTAAGAAGGTGGTCCAGTTTCATTCTTCTGCATGTTGCTGTCCAGTTTTCCCAATACCAATTGTTGAAGAGACTATCCTTTTTCCATTGGATATTCTTTCCTGCATTGTCAAAGATTAGTTGACCATATAGTTGTGGTTCTTATTCAGTAATTTATCCAACCCCACCACCAAACTCTGTAAAGGAATTTCTTATTCTTAATTATTAAGATTAATTATAATGAGAGAACATGAGAGGCACGAATCTTGTGCAACAACAAATACTATATTAACCAGTGGGAACCCTGAGTAAGTAAATGAAAGTCCTATCTTTGGCAGATCTGAAGAAAAAATGGCTTATAAACCTTACGTGGTATAGTAGGGATGCTTTACATATCACTGGAGTTAGAACTAATTCATATGAGGGCTCAGTTGGTTAAGCGACTGCCTTCGGCTCAGGTCATGATCCTGGAGTCCCGGGATCGAGTCCCACATCGGGCTCCCTGCTCAGCAGGGAGCCTGCTTCTCCCTCTGACCCTCTTCCCTCTCGTGCTCTCTATCTCTCATTCTCTCTCTCTCTCAAATAAATAAATAAAAAATTTTTAAAAAAAAAAAAGAACTAATTCATATGAAAAATTAGAGGTTGGTACTAAATTCTGTGGTAGTGACGGTAAATACAACTTAATTCATTAATTCAATAAATATTTTGCTTCAACTTTATGATGCACCCTACACTAGGCCAAGAGATAACAGATTTAAAAATATAGTCTGGGAATGAGGCAGGGGAAACATAATCGTGGTACAGTGTGATTCAATGCTCCAATAGAAATAAGTGCAAAGTACTGTTGGTATAGAAAGAAGAACAGCTAATGGTGCTAGCAGAAAAAGAAAAAATTTGTATGGATTGGATTAGTCATATAGGCTTAATTTTTTATTTTTAATAAACAGTGTGATATCATTTTACTATGACTGTGTCTTGTTACCTGGTATGTTTTTAAGGAACTTGTATAGTATATTTCTATTTTATGAAATGAGATTATAAACCCCCAAAGGCTTATTGATAAGTCATTTTGTAGGTGAGCCCACCAGCAGCAGCTTCCTACCTCTCGTTATACTATAGTACACCAATTATAAACTATATTCAAAGCCAGGTAGACCTAATTCAGTGAACAAATAAGATATCTAGTTTACTATTTATTATATTTAACTAGTAGGAATAATTAATATGCTTTAAACATACAGGTGATAAAATTTCCCTTAAGTGGTTAACTAGTTTTGGTCAATTTAACAGTCCTTTTTCTTTCTTATTAAGGGTCTACTGTATTTGCTGGTAACAGACCAGGGGTTTCTTACTGAAGAAAAAGTTGTTTGGGAAAGCCTACACAATGTGGATGGTGATGGAAATTTCTGTGACTCAGAATTTCATCTGCGGCCTCCTTCAGATCCTGAAACCGTATACAGAGGACAGCAAGACCAGATAGATCAGGTAAATTTGTCTTCTTCCTATAGTTTAAAATGCTCTTGCTTTTGGGGCATCTGGGTGGCTGAGTCAGTTAAGTGTCTGACTTTGGCTCGGGTCATGATCTCAGGGTCCTGGGATCAAGCCCCATGTGGAGTCTGCTTGACCCTCTGCCTCTCTCCCTGCTCTTGCTTGCTCTCTCAGATAAATAAATCTTTTTAACAGAATAAAAAATAAAATGCTCATTCCTTTCAAATGTGAATTCAGTTATCTAAAACTTCTGAACCAAAGATTTATTGTGAGATATTCCTGACATTTCCTGAATCGGCAAGTGATCATTTACATGTTATACATTGATCATACACTTTGGTTCAGAAGGCCAGATTATATTGAACTGTGAAGGCCATGGTACAGTTTGAATTTTATTCTGAACTGTAATAGGAAAGATATGCCAAGTGTTAAACATGGAAGTGAGATGATTTGCTTTACCTTTTTTAAAGGCTACTATGTGAAGAATGCATAGGTATGAACAGATGACACAGGTATAAAGCAGAGACTAGCAGTTCAAGCAAGAGGTGATGACAGCTTAGCCATGGTGGTAGAGATGAGCTGAGCACAGACTAGAGATATATTTAGCTAGTCAGAAAAAGTAGAAAAAAGAGAGGGTAAAAAACTAGGTAGGTGTTCTAAGCCTTAGCATCCAGGGTAAGCAGACACTTAGAGCAAGAACTGCACTAATGAGTGGAATTCTCATTTAGAACTGCGACAGATGAGATCTTCACCTGCTATAGGTGGGCAGTCTTGGAGCAACAAGTGTATTTGTTACTAGAAGTATAACAGTAATGTGACTTCTTCTTCCCCGACCGAGGCAAAAATACGGTTATGTTGAACAGTGCCAACTGTTCAACATACTGATAATTTAAGTACATAGAGACTGTTCATTTAGCCAATATTCATTGAGTAGTTGTGTTCCTGGCACTATTAACAAGGTCCTGGAGACTCAAAGATAAATCATTTAGTCCTGTCCTCAAAAATTCTACAGTCTAACAGAGAGGCGAATATTTGACCAACCAATAATTATATGTTAAGTTCTGTAGAGCACTTTGAATAGTAAGCTATGAGTGTACAGAAGAATACTTGATTCAAACAAATGCTGATCTTTCTCGGACTCTTGGAAGTTAAGAATACAAATAGTTATAATAACATGCTCATTTTCTTTCAGAAGCTTTATAGGGGCATTTAAAAGAAGATTACTTGAGAGAAATGTGCAAGATTTTTCTAACACTGTATGTAAAAAATATTAGAGCAGAGGGAATGAAGGTAAAGTAGTCGGTTGCTACAGTAGTAAAGTTGTAAGATGCTGCAAAAAAAATAAATAAAATCTTTAAAAAAAAAAATAGATGCTGCGAAAAGAAGATATAGGATAGTGTCTGTGGAAGTTGCAAGGAAAGTGGATTTAAGACCATAGGACGGGGCAAAGAGCAGTTTGAAGAAGTGAGGAGAAAAATTTGAAGGACAAATTCTTCATATTGGTAAGATATTCATGCTAGATAGTACAAAGTCTTCTTAGGCAACAACTTTTTAGATATCCTCTGTGGGTAATTAAAATTCTCTTACTTTGAGGATAGTTTGGGGGAGATGCACAGAATAGTCAAGTTCCATTTAGTACTAATTCTTAATAAATGTGGGTGTGAAGTTAGATAATATAACACTTCAACCAAAGAAGCAGCACATTTTCTCATAGGAAGTAATTTGGGGGTGTTTGTGGGAGGAAGCAGGAAGTGATTAAGTAATTGAATATCACTGTATGATGGGCAACTGTGTTGGTTTTAAAAATCATGTTTTGGCAGTCGCTTAACCAACTGAGCCACCCAGGCACCAGGTCATGATCTCAGGGTCCTGGGATCGAACCCCGCATCGGGCTCCCTGCTCATCAGGAAGCCTGCTTCTCCCTCTCCCACTCCCCCTGCTTGTGTTCCCTCTCTCACTGTCTCTCTCTCTCTGTCAGATAAATAAAATCTTTAAAAAAAAAAAAAATCATGTTTTGGAAGAACATTTAATAAATGATTTGGGAAATTCTTATGATTTTTTTAAAAAAAAACAAGACTTATGACATTAAATGGAGGTTGGGAAATGTGTTTGAGTTTGTATGTGAATGTAGAAAAAACTACACGGCTATATATCAGTTGTTAACAATAGTTATCTTTGTATAATATGGTAATTTTAACTTTCTTATTTACATTTTTGAATTTTGTCTCAATTTTCTACAGACATGTTTCTTTCATAAATAGGGGGAGGTTTATTTTGGTTTTTTTGTTTGTTTTTAAAGTGGGCTCTACGCCAAACATGGGTCTTGAACTCATGACCCCAAGATCAAGAGTTGCATGCTCTACAGACAAAGCCAGCCAGGTGCCCCTAGGGGGGAGTTTTGCGGCGGTGGGGGGGGTGTGTTTTTTCAGGTGAGTTGTTTTCACAGCTTTCTTGAATGCCTTATATGCTAGTTCTAGAAATAATTTTAAATGAATTCCAAGAATATTTAGAACAATGGCAGCATCACTGAAATTATAGCTCTCAAACAGAAATACTTAGGTAACTTTAGTTTTTATATTTAAACTCTGGTATGTTTTTAAAAAGCCTTTCTCATAGTTCTGTAGGTATAACCTCTATATTTATACTCCTCAGTCCTTTAGTAAAATCTCATAGCTAAAGATGGTTATAATTTAATTTCTTAGGACTACCTTATGGCATTGTCTCTACAACAAGAGCAGCAGAGCCAAGAGATCAATTGGGAACAAATACCTGAAGGAATCAGTGATTTAGAACTAGCAAAGAAACTCCAAGAAGAAGAAGATAGACGGGCTTCTCAATATTATCAGGAACAGGAACAAGCAGCAGCAGCTGCTGCTTCTGCTTCTACACAGGCCCAGGTAAAAACTATTGTTCTGATTCTTAAATACAATGACCACTTTAGCAACAAAGAAATTTGTACTGAGATAAATATTTTTAAATTAGGTATTGACTCGAGTTATGTTAGCATTTTAGCACCCATGGTTTTATGGCATTGTCATAAGTTTGTGATTATCTTAATATATTTCTCATTTAGTGAAATTATTTTTTCTGAGTTTCTGATGGCAAGATTTTTCAGTTTTGTTTTTGTTTTGTTTGTTTTGTTTTTTAAGTAGGCTCCACGCCCAGTGTGGAGCCCAACGCGGGGCTTGAACTCACGACCCTGAGATCAGGACCTGAGCTGAGATCAAGAGTCGAAGCTTAACCGACTGAGCCACCCAGGCGCCCCTTCAGTTGTTTTTTTGTTTTTTAATTCCAGTGTAGTTAACACAGTGTTATATTAGTTTCAGGTGTACAACATAGTGATTTAACAATTCTATACATTACTCAGTGCTTGTCAAGCTAAGTGTACTTTTAATCCCCTTCACATATTTCCCCCATTCCCCCCTCTTCATCCCCCTCCCCCCTGGGAAGCATCTGTCTGTTCTCTATAGTTAAGAGTTTATTTTTGGATTTGTCTCTTTTTTTTTTCTTTTTTCATTTAGTTTTGTTTCTTAATTGCACGTATGAGTGAAATCATACAGTATTTGTCTTCCTCTGACTGGCTTATTTCATTTAGTTTTATACTCTCTAGCTCCATCCATGTTGTTGCAAATGGCAAGATTCCATTCTTTTTCATGGCTGAATAATATTCCATTGTGTATACCACGTATTCTTTATCTATTCATCTATCGATGGACACTTAGGTGGCTTCCATAATTTGGCTATTATAAATAATGCTGCAGTAAACATAGGAGTGCATGTATGCCTTTGAATTAGTATTTTGTATTCTTTGGGTAAATGCCCAGTAGTGTAATTGCTGGGTCATATGGTAGTGCTATTCTTAATTTTTTGAGGAACCTCCACAGTGCTTTCCACAGTAGCTTCATCAGTCTGTATTCCCACCAGTGCATGAGGGTTCCTTTTTCTCCACATCCTTACCAACACTTGTTGTTTCTTATGTTTTTTAATTTAGCCATTCTAACATATATGAGGTGATATCTCATTGTGGTTTTGATTTGTATTTCCCTGATGATGACTGATGTGGAGTGTCTTTTCATGTGTCTGTTGGCCGTCTGTATGTCTTCTTTGGAGAAATGCCTGTTTATGTCTTCTGCCCATTTTTAACTTTTTAAATTATTTATTTACTTAAAGGAAAGGGAGCGAGTGGGAGGGAGAGGGAGAGAAGATCTGAAGCAGACTCTGCCCTGAGTGCAGAGCCCAACGTGGGGCTCTATCCCACGACTGTGAGACTACAACCCGAGCCGAACCAAGAGTCAAATGCCCAACTGACTGAGCCACCCAGGCACCCCTTCTGCCCATTTTTAATTGGATTATTTGTTTTCTTGGTGTTGAGTTGTAGAAGTTCTTTATATATTTTGGATACTAACCCTTTATCAGATATGTCATTAACAAATACCTTTTCCCATTCAGTAGCTTGTCTTTTAGTTTTATTGATTGTTTCCTTTGCTGTTCAGATTTTTTATTTTGATGTAGTCCCAATAGTTTATTTTTATTTTGTTTCCCTTGCCTCAGGAGACATATCTAGAAAGATGTTATTATGGCTGATGTCAGAGAAATTACTGCCTGTGCTCTCTTCTAGTATTTTTACAATTTCAGGTCTCCATTTAGGTCCTTAATCTGTTTTGAGTTTATTTTTATGTATGGTGTAAGAAAGTTGTCCAGTTTCATTCTTTTGCATGTAGTTGTCCAGTTTTCCCGACACCATTTGTCGAAGAGACTTTTTCCTGTTGCATATTCTTTCCTCCTTTGTCAAAGATTATTTGACCATATAACTGTAGGTTTGTTTCTGTGTTTTCTGTTCTGTTCCATTGATGTATGTGTCTATTTTTGTGCCAGTATCACACTGTTTTGTTTTGTTTTGTTTTTAATTTAAGTAATGTTCACACCAAACATGGGGCTCAAACTCATGACCCTGAGATCAAGAGTGGCATGCTCTTCTGACTGAGCCAGCCAGGCACCCTAAAATCATACTGTTGATTACTACTACTCTGTAATATAACTTGAAGTCTGGAATTATGAGACCTCCAGTTTTGTTTTTCTTTTCCAAGATTGCTTTGGCTATTCAGGGTATTTTGTGGTTTCATGCAAATTTTAGGATTGTTTGTTCTAGCTCTGTGAAAAATGCTGTTGGAATTTTGATAGGGATCACATTAAATCTGTAGATGGCTATGTGTAATATAGACATTTTAATAATATTTGTTCTTCCAATCCATGAGCATGGAATGTCTTTACATTTCTTTGTGTTGTCTTCAATTTCTTTCATCAGTGCTTTATAGTTTTCAGAGTACAGATCTTTCATCTCTTTGGTTAAGTTTTTTTCTAAGTATTTTATTATTTTTGGTGCAATCGAATCAAATGTATTTTTTAAATTGTATATCCAAAGAATATAAACGAACGGGAACAAAGTCTTTTGTAACAGTTAGAGGGCAGTATGAAGTACTGCTGGGAAGAATGTAGACTTCAGAGCCAGATAGAAATGGATTGCATTTCCTGCTTCTGTCTCCCTGTGCTAGTTGTAACACCTTGGACAAAGTCCTTTACCTCTCTTAGCCTCATTTTCCCTATCTTGAAAATAAAAGATAATGCTTAACTCTTAGGTTTGTGGGTAAGAACAAATAATGTTAGTACTTAACCCAATGTCTGACATGTACTAAGTATTTAACAAAGGTTATTAGCACCTTTCCACTTTTCCTAAACGTATTAAGCACTGAAAATGTGATTATTAAGTGGGTTCCTTTATATTAAATCTCATTTTATTAAATGAAAAAAATATTTCCCTTCTTTTATGTTTAACTGTACCATGCCAGAATGGTTCCTTTGACTTGGTTGGGTATTTAAGAAAACAAGGTGCACTCTAAGGTCTGACGAAACTTTAAACATAGAGGTCTCCATTAAACTAAGTATTTCTATTCCTAATTCAAATAATGACTATTCCAAGCTTAAAAGTTAAAACCTACCACATTATGAGTAGCTTTTCATTAAAAACGTTCTCTTACATTCTCTTATTTCACAGAATACACTTATTTCACACTCAAAGTTCTCAGGATTTTCGTTTTTCTCCTTTAAAATCTGTTTATTATAGTTTACTGAGATCTTAGGGAACTTAATTTACCAAATGTCACCTTCTTTAACATTTTCTAAACTTTAACATAAATATTTCTTGAATTTGAGGTTTCAGGGAATATAATCCTATATATTATTTATTGTTTGAAATTCCATTTACTTAGAATAATGGATACATTAATTAGATCTATCCAAAATGACAGGGGCAGTTATTCAGATACCATGTAACATAACAAATCTGTATACAAATAACTTTTTTTTTCCATTAATGATTCCTTCCACTCTTGTGGTTTTTCCTTCTAGATAACTATGATTAAGCACCTTAGAAAGTTGAGGTAATTTCTTCCTGTTTATTTTTCTTAAAGCAAAGCCAGCCAGCACAAGCCTCTCCAAGTAGAAGACAACCTGGGAATAGTGAACGTAAACGAAAGGAACCTCGAGAAAAAGATAAAGAAAAGGACAAAAATAGCTGTGTCATTTTGTAACAAGTGTTGGATTCTGTTGGATGCATCTATATGTCTTGAGAAACAAAACCACACGAGGAAAGGAAGAAAAACCGATAAATACCGTCTGTGCCTGATTTCCCAATGGATTTTGTTCATGTTTTTCAGGGGAAAGGTTGTTACTTAGTTACAATCAGACTTTTTCAAGTCACACAGTACACTCTTTATGAGCTGGAGTTTCATGTTACAAGTTGGAAATGCTGTGTGTTATCATTCATGAAAAATACTGCACTTGTAGCCAAATAAGCAAATCACAGCAAATTTTGTGTCATAGTGACATTCATAACTCATATCAGTTAGTAAGCTATTTTATCTTCTGTTCTAACAATGAATGGAGATAACTTATTTTGTCTGATTCCTTCCTGAAATCTAAATATTAGCACAGTAGTTTCTGAAATTAATTTTTACAATGTTAAATTATGATCTAATCCAAGAGAAACCAGGGGTTTAATATAGGGATGTAAAAAGAAAACAAAAACAAACACAAACAACAAAAGAACCGAGACAAAAAATAACAGAAATAAATAATCCTTAATCCTGTATTGGACTAGTTCAGCCCTTGAACAGCTTTACCTTTCTTTAGGAATGTACATTTTAGATATTATCTTGAGAACTGATAACGGAGCTTGGGTTTAATTTAGATAGAAAAAATAATTTGTATTTCTTTTCCAATAGCAAAAAATTGCATAACACTAATACTCATATTCTATCCAAATCAGATATTAATGATTTTGTAGTCTTGTGAAATTTTGAGGAATTTTGAAATCTTTAATATAGGTAACTTGTACTACAGTTACTATTTATTGACAGTGTGATAACTGAGTATAAGAAGGAAACCAGAGTGGATGCTAGGCCTTGTAAATATGGGATGTAGAAAAGCAGATAGTTCAGTGTCTACCTTTTTCTAGAATTACCTTGAACCTTAAAATTTAAATCATGTTTATTTGCTGGAAAATTAAGTATACTTACTAAAGCCAACAAAAAAGCACATTTCTGAAAGGAAGTTAGAAATAATCTCTGAGTCTAGTGAAAAAGCATTAATAAAAATGTTTGAAAATAGATAAGAATTGGGAGGAATTTATGTAAAAGCAATCAGATTTTTTTTTAACTTATGGGAAACAAATAGACCTATAACATCTTGTAGTGTTTATAGGATTCAGAAAGAAATATTTATTGAACTTTATTATGAGGCAACACATATTTTCCTGTATTTCTACTATCCTTAATAGTCGTTTTTATATGCTTTATATTTAAAAGTTTGTTTTAGTTATTTTTGAAAAGACTATTGCTGCTGCAAGTAGTCATGTGATTTACATTCTAAGCCTCAGTAAATTTGTTTGAGAGCATCTTAATCTAACCTGAGCATCCACTTGGAGAATGTTCATGTGGTCTAGAGTTCTTAAGCTATGTCCTTAACATTCTCCATGATCCAAGACCACTTATAGGATGAGTTTATATGTAAAAATAGAAAGTAAAGTCTTATTTATGGAAGGAGTTATTCTAAGGGAAAATCCAGGGTCAAGCTGTATCTTTTATGTCATGTCCTTCTGCATTTCATGTCTGGTTATGTTATACCGTTTGTTTATTCCTTCAGATTTCCTATGCTAGCATGATAAATCATCATAGAACCTGTTTGGGGTATAAAACTTTGATACAAAATATTTGGTGAGTCTCTAGTTAATAACCTACAATATGTGTACATTGGTAAAGTAATCAAATGTACTACAGAATTCTCTGTTGGCTCAAGCAAGTTGACCTTAGTCCAAGCTTACTCTTGATATCACTCTATTGGTTGAAGGAGGAAACTCAAACCTCAGGGTTTGTTTTTCCTAGAACAGATAGTAGTGATAGTGCATTATATTTTAATAAGAAAAAGCAAAACAGTAAATCCTGAGAAATTTTAAAAAGCATATTTGAGGCATATTTTTCCATAATTATATACTTATCTATTTATTACTCTTGAAAAATATATGTGTAAAAGTTATTCTTCTGTTATTTGTTACTATCTTCTTAATTTGTTCCAAAGATAATACTGCCATTCTGCATTCCCCTTGGAAGAAAAAAAAACTCACTCAAAACCAGCAGTGCTGCTATCAGATAAGTAGATGTCAATGTATACTTATAAAAAATAACTAAAAAATATCATGTGTTTATTAATTCAACCTTTTTTCTATGTAATATTTCCAAGTCAGACTTTCTTACATTCCTGGAGTTCAGTTTAATATACCAAGAGTAATAATGATAAAATGTTTGCTTTGATTACTGTGAGGAAAAAATTAAATGTTCAGTTCTATTAAACTTCTTGGAGATACTGCTTTCCCATCCTTGAAGGTTAGAGCCATTGTCTTTATTTTCTTGTATTTTGCTCAAGGCAACAAATTATATATTCAGACATTTCATTGCTGGTTTGGGTACATTGGAATTTGATAGTGGTATATTCAAGTCTTTCCTTCAGTGTTTTGAAAACTGTTACATGAACTGCTAGCAGAAGTTAGAACTTAAACATTTTTGTTGTTAATATTTATAGGCTAGATTAGGGACACATTTGCATCAACTAATCACTATTAGATTTAGCAAAAGAGATATGAATGAGTGGATATGGTCACTATACTTTATTGTACTTTCAAAGGCTATTTCTTAAGTTTAGTGACCAGTCTTCCTTACCAGTATGAAAATTGTCCTGATGTGTAATCCCATTGAATTAATAATGCTGTGATTTACAATAGGTTATCAACATTAAAACTGTGTGTGTGTGTGTGTGTGTTTCTGAAGCAAGGATCCATGATTTCTATTATCATTTGAACTGTCCCTCAAATTTAAGAATTACCATTTAAGAATACACACACATACATATGTACATACATTAAGCAGTTTGAGGCAGCTAAAATTTGCATTGGCTGCTTCCTGTAATATGCTGGTCCAATATGCTTAGGTGATGTAACTTCTTCCATGTTTCAAGGTATCAGTTTAGCAGTCGAATGAGGCATAGATTTAAATTTAGGATTAGGTTTTGGAATGTATTTTGTTTTAGTGTCTCATATGTCTAGTATTTGACAACTTACCCCATATTATATTTCAAATTCTTCCTCATACTTCTTGATCTTAGCTTAATTAAGCAAATCAGTATCAGAGATTAGTTGACTGAACCCAACATTAACCATTTTGTACTTGCACAAAAACCTAATACTTTGTTTTTACTGAATCACCAGCTCAGGTCACTAAGAAAGATCTTGAGAGGAAAGAGGACTAGAAGTCAAATAGATATTTAAGTAAAGAATTGTTATAGTCCCTATATTAATGTTGGCATATGAAGCAGATATCTGTCAAGTCTTACTGGAGAAATAATCAAGGCGAGAATTTCCAGGGCTGTCCTCTAACTCATTTATTAAAAAAAAAATTCTTTTAAGCAAAAAAGCAAATTGATTATTACATTTCACTTAATTTCCTATTAAATATACCAGTTATTTTAAAATATGATGGAAAAATTAACAGGCTTTACCTATCATACAATACTTGGGCATACAACTTAAACTATCATTGTAAACTTACTAATGCTTGATAAAATAACATGGAGGCATTAAAGATATAGTACATAATTTGTATTTTAAGGAACTACAAATGTGGAAATGTTGGAAGTCTGAACTGTTTTAGGTCTAAAAATCTGGCTTTTATCTTTCCAAAAGGGGCAAACTTTCTGTGCCTCAGTTTATTCTAAATATGTAAAAGATGCTCATTTTTTTAGTGCTTTATACTCCTGAATAAAGGGCATAGTATAAGCTCAGAATATGACTTAAATAATCATAAATATTATGGTTTTTGTTCTTGAGTGTGCAGAACTTTTTCCCAATGACAATATTTCTTAAAGTCAGTTTTTTTAATGCTGTTAAAATTTGTAGAATTATCTTGTCTTTGAGTATGGCATCATCTCTTCCCAAAATGTATTTTGTGGTTGCTTTTGTGTTTTGATCAAAATTGAGATTATTTTGAGAGTATAAGAAGCATTAAAAGTCTATTTTTTCCAGTATCTTTCATATATCTAAATACTTAGATTCTCTTTGCCTTTTTCTCCATGGAACAAAGTATAGTGGTATCAGGTTACTAATACATATATGTAAACTTTTGTGCATGGATGGAATTCATTTAGGTCTGTCAAGTACTGTCATTTTTAGAGCTATTTGAATTATATCTGTTTTTTAGTATAAAATGTTATTTGATAATGTGCAGATAAATTCCTTTTAGAAAGTGACTAAAAATCAGAGTTCTTCGGTTCTCTGGGAATATAGTGGTGTTTGTTTTGTTTTACTGTGATATCCAACACTTCTACAGCTGCTGAGAAAAATCTCATGAAGAACTGAGGTAACTTTTCTCAGGTAACACTTTAAAACAAACTAAAGTTTAAAATTGAAGCCTTCTTGGCCAAAAAAATTGCAAAATAGAGATAATGGAGTCTGAGGGACAGATTGCAGGACCCAGGTAATTTTAATTTCTTTTGAAGATCTATCTAAATTTTAGTTCACACATGTCTGTTACTTAATCCCAGTGTCTCTGTTATTAGAAATTGGCCAAAGTCTTCAATAATAGCTGAACTATTATCAAGTTCAGCTTTGTCCTACTGTCCTGAGATTTAGACTTCTCTGCCTATAACTTGTATTTTTGAGAACATGGTACTATCCCAGATAAGGTATTGAAATACCATGGCAGAAATACAAAACCTAAACTAAAAATCACTGTAGATTTAAAAGACAAAAAGTTCTAGTATTATTCTACAACGCATCTACTTTATTTGATACTAATTTTAAGAATTTTTTTCAAATCACTTAATAATTTGTCATTAACTTTAAAAACTTTATATCCTTCCTCATTGCAGTATACTGCTTTGAGAGGCAGAGATGCCTCCTAGATTAAATTCTGAAGGTGACGCTGGCTTCTTTGGGTCTAGTAGTCACAGCTTTAAATAGGAAGTCAGGAAATTGAAATGCCCATTTAAATTCCCAAATCAGTGACCTGTCCAAATGGGCATTATCGCTGAAATACCACTATAGAGTAGGTCTAACTAACAATATGTTTAAAGACTAAGATTGGCATTTAATCTTTGAAGATCTGTCCGGGGTGTCTTGATTTTGTCAGTTTTTATTCCTTTTTATATCTTAGTTGTATAAGGTAATCATTTTTTTTCCCAGAGTACATAGGCTATCACAGCTCTATAGATTTTTAAAGATGGGACTTTGAAAAATGGTTTTTGTTAAAAAGCAATTTTCCTTAGTAAAATGACAACCACTGTTTTCACAGGCCCGCACATCACAAGTAGGACAATATGATAGAAGACTGATGTATGATAGCTACACAACAGTCAGCAAAAGGGATAATCTTCACTTGTGACACTTTAGAGGTACCTGAAAGTCATTTCCTAAAGTTAGTGCATGTGAGTCTTTTTCCTGGAATTGTGCAGAATAATT